AGAGAGTGTTGCAGTAGTCAAGGTGTTTTGCTTCCTGCCTGCATGGAGAGGTCACTTCCTCCTTACTCTCAGAAGTCTTTAGGACAGGCATGGGCAAACTTGGGCCCTCCAGGTGTTTTGGATTTCAACTCCCACCATTCCTGAAGTCCAAAACACCTGGAGGGCCCAAGTTTGCCCCTGCTTGGTCTATCTACTCTTTGATACCAACCTGTAACAATAAAAGTATGTTTACCTCCTCTCTCGTTTCCTACCACAAGCTCACCTGTAGCACTGGCTATGCTGCACTCCGCTCTGCTATAGATCCTAATATCGCTACAGGTCCTCTCCCACCCTTCTCCCCAAATGGTGACCAAGAGCCACACGTTCTGGTGCTGAGTCATGCACTCGGTGCAACACCAGGACACGCTGCCCCTCCTTCTGAAGGGAAAAGTGGACGCAAGGTCACGGCGAGGCTTGATTTTGGCAGGCCACCAAGGTTAGGTAAGCTCTGTTGACCTAGGAGGAGCCCAAGCTCCCTTCCAGGAGAACGCAACTTGAAATATGCTGGGAAATTAATTGGCTGAAACAAGCCAATTGAGCTGTTGGGGGGGGGGGGGGGAGTTCACTTTGCAAGCGGTGCTTTGGTGTAAGTTAACTCTTTCCTCCCTTTGCACCAGGAGTCCGGATACTGCTTTACTGGAACATGGTTTCCCAGGCCGAGAATTCATTTGCAAATTCTTCCTCTCCTGCACATCCCCCTTGATGACCATTCTCATTTGCTGTGGTCATTTTAAAGTTTTGAAATAATAATACTAAGTGTGTGGAGACCCTGCAAATCTATTTACAAGATGAATTCCTTCTTGTGAAAACTTCCAGGTGATGCATTGTTTCTCTCCTGCATTTTTGCCAGAAAAGGTAACTCATTGGAATATAGAGAAGTTAAGAGTCGAAAGCAGTGTTTCTCAACCTGGGGGTCACGAGGGAGTATCAGAGGGGTCGCCAAAGACCATCAGAAATCACAGTATTTTCTGCTGGTCATGGGGGTTCTGTGTGGGAAGTTTGGCCCAATTCTATCATTGGTGGGGTTTCTCAACCTGGGGGTCAGGACCCCTGGGGGGTCACGAGGGGGTGTCAGAGGGGTCGCCAAAGACCATTAGAAAACACAATATTTTCTGCTGGTCATGGGGTTTCTGTGTGGGAAGTTTGGCCCAATTCTATCGTTGGTGGGGTTCAGAATGCTCTTACATTGTGGGTGAACAATAAATCCCAGCAACTATAACTCCCAAACGTCAATTCTATTTTCCCCAAACTCCACCAGTGTTCGCATTTGGGCATATTGAGTATCCGTGCCAAGTTTGTTCCAGATCCATCATTGTTTCAGTACACAGAGCTCTCTGGATGTAGGTGAACTACAACTCCCAAACTCAAGGTCAATGCCCACCAAATCGTTCCGGTATTTTCTGTTGGTCATGGGAGTTCTGTGTGGGAAGTTTGGCCCAATTCTATTGTTGGTGGGGTTCAGAATGCTCTTTCATTGTAGGTGAACTATAAATCCCAGCAACTACAACTCCCAAATATCAATTCTAATTTCCCCAAACTCCACCAGTGTTCGCATTTGGGCATATTGACTATCCATGCCAAGTTTGTTCCAGATCCATCATTGTTTGAGTACACAGTGCTCCCTTGATGTAGGTGAACCACAACTCCCAAACTCAAGGTCAATGCCCACCAAACCCTTCCCGTATTTTCTGTTGGTCATGGGAGTTCTGTGTGGGAGGTTTGCCCCAATTCTATCGTTGCTGAGGTTCAGAATGCTCTTTCATTGTAGGTGAACTATAAACCCCAGCAACTACAACTCCCAAATGTCAAGTCTATTTCCCGCCAACTCCATCAGTGTTCGCATTTGGGCATATTGAGTATTCATGTAGAGCTTGGTCCAGATCCATCATTGTTTGAGTCCACAGGGCTCTCTGGATGTAGGTGAACTACAACTCCCAAACGCAAGGTCAATGCCCACCAAACCCTCCCAGTATTTTCTGTTGGTCATGGGATTTCTGTGTGCCAAGTTTGGTTCAATTCCATAGTTGTTGGAGTTCAGAATGCTTTTTCTTGTAGGTTAACTATAAATCCCAGCAACTACAACTCCCAAATGACAAAAATCAATCCGTACCCCACCCCAGTATTCAAATGTGGGTGTATTCTGTATTTGTGCCAAATTTGGTCCAGTGAATGAAAACACATCCTGCATATCAGATACTGACATTATGATTCATAGCAGTAGCAAAGTTATAGTTAAGAAGTAGCAACAAAAATAATGTTATGGTTGGGGGTCACCACCACATGAGGAACTGTGTTAAGGGGTCGCGGCATTAGGAAGGTTGAGACCCACTGGACTAAAGGGACTGAATGCAAACTTGTCTTTTGCTCCCCTTTGCACTAAAGTAAGAAATGCAGAGTGCTTCATTTGCACCCAGAAGACTCCAAGCTCACTCCCTATGACCTCCCAGGAAAAAGATTATATCCACCAGTGTTCTTCCTAGCCTATCCCCAAAAACTAATTTACACTGTCCTGGATAGAGACACAGCTTCACAAGTTCGTATGGGCCGGGACCTTTCCGTATGTCTTAAGATACAAGGAGAACTAATCAGATCAATTACTACTTCCCATCTCATTTCTGCCAGCAATAAGATCCACGTGCGTCAAGGCACGGCTATCACTTCAACTGGTTTTGAATTGCAATTCCCGTGCTAAATTTGTCTGCAAGCCCTTACAAATGTTTGCAGGCAGAATAGATTCTGCTGTAGTGCTGTCTTTTGGCGCAGAAGGAACACATTCTATTCTGGTTGAGACTTTTTTGAAAGAGGTGAATCCTTCACAAAGTGTGATACTTTGACAACAGAAGAGACAAGCACAGAATTAACTGGACAAGTAAACACTGTCAAGAGAGGCAGAGAGGATGGCTCCTTTCAACCCTACAAAACACCTAGATAGTTATTATTTATTTTATTTATTTACAGCTTTTATATTCCGCCCTTCTCACCCCGCAGGGGACTCAGGGCGGATTACAGTGTACACATATATGGCAAACATTCAATGCCAATTTTTGACATACAACGTATACAGACATACACAGAGGCTATTTAACTTTTTCTGGCTGCCAGGGGAGCTGTCGCTTTCATCGTCCATCTGCGACACTGATGAAGTACTTCCGCATTCCCCGCATGCTTTGCTGGAGTGCTTTGCTGGAGTCTTTTTTATGGCCTCATAAATTAGTTAATTTAGCCTCCCCACACAAGGTGGTACCTAATTTTCCTACTTGACAGATGCAACTGTCTTTCGGGTTGCAAAGGTCGACAACAGGCTACACAATTGGTTGGAAACCCACTCCAATCCGGGCTGGCTTCGAACTCATGACCTTTTGGTCAGAGTGATCTTAATGCAGCTGACACTCAGCCACAATCCGGGTGGATTGCTGATTTTTTCTAAGAAGTGGGCTGAGTCCTTGATATAGTGTGTAGTGACCCCCCCCCCCCAAATCAGCAATCTCAAGCTAAATACCAACGACAAACTGATCAGCTTCGTTGTGCTGTCTCTATTCATCATGGTCCCAGTAGCAGAAACCATGGCACTCATCAACCAGAGGTTCCCAGAAGACATCATGGCGCTGTTTACCATTGCCTCACCACCAGCTACTTTCAGTGGCACAATGAGTTCTACGAACAGAAAGATGGAGTAGCTATGGGGAGCCCTCTCAGCCCGGTCATAGCTCATTTCTACATGGAACACTTTGAAAAACAAGCCCTGGAAACAGCAACCAAAAAGCCCACAATATGGTTCAGATATGTGGATGACACTTTCACCATTTGGAGCCATGGAGAAGAAGAACTCAACAGGTTCCTGGACCATCTTAACAGCATCCACCCAAACATCCAGTTCACCATGGAAAAAGAAAAGGAAGGAAGACTGCCTTTTCTAGATGTCCTAGTCATCCGCAAACCAGATCAACAATTGGGTCACACCGTTTACAGAAAACCCACACACACAGATAGATATCTACATAAAAACTCCAACCATCACCCAAGTCAAAAAAGAAGCCCCATTAAAGCCTTGGCAGACCGTGCAAAAAGAATCTGCGAAGCCCACCTCCTCCAAGATGAACTGAACCACCTCAACTGGGCTCTCCAGGCCAATGGAGACTCCACCTCAGACATCAGAAGAGCTGCAAGACCAAGAACAAGCCACGAGAGTCAAGAAAAGGATCCACCCAGAGGAAAATTGTACACAATATTCCAGGTGTGGAACCACTGACCGCATAGGGAAGCTGATGAGGAAACACAACATACAAACAATCTACAGACCCACCAAGAAAATCCAACAAATGCTACGTTCAGCAAAGGACAAGAGGGATCCTCTCACCTCTGCAGGAGTCTACCGTGTACCATGCAGCTGTGGACAAGTCTACATAGGGACCACCAAACGCAGCATCTTGCCCAAACACGAATCAAGGAACATGAAAGGCACTGCAGACTAATTCAACCAGAGAAGTCAGCCATAGCAGAGCACCTGATGAACCAACCTGGACACATCGTATTACTTGAGAACACAGAAATGCTGGACCACTCTCACAACCACCATGTCAGACTACACAGAGAAGCCACTGACATCCACAAGCATGTGGACAATGTCAACATTGTAATCCGCCCTGAGTCCCCTTTGGGGTGAGAAGGGCGGAATATAAATACTGTCAATAAATAAATAACTTTTGAAAAAGCAACTTGCTGCAGCTTCATGCCTGCTTTTTTATGCAAAAAGTCCCAGTCCTTGGCAACGCCATCCAAAAGGATCAAAGTGCAAAAGACTTGGCCTCAGACCCTGGAGAACTGGTGCTGATCCAAAACAGATAGCATGGGACTAACTGGACCAATAACGAACTCAAACAAAAAGGTGTCCCGGCTCTTGCTTTATCTCTTCTTATCTTTCCGCGTTCTAGTGTTTCAACACGGAGGTCTTCCGGACTCACCATATTTGGCTGCCACCCTTCCACGTTGACACAGCGGTCGATGCACCACCAGAAGTCGTCCTCGGATTCTCCTTTCCAAGCAAAGACAGGGAAGCCTAGAGAAGGAATGGGCAGAGTGGGGACTTCAAATGGAAGCAAACATCATCATAATTTTTTATTTATTATCTGCCTCTTCTTTTAGCTCGAGGCAGGGCATAACATAATACTTTGCAACACAATATGACAGAAATTCTGTTCCTGGTTTGAAAATGTTATTCCTGTTTAATTGTGCAGGCCTTCCTTTAAATCCAATTGTTTTACTCCAGAAACTTTGTTTTTGTGCCACACAACTAGGGTAAAATGGTTGAGATTCTATGGTGAGATAATCATTGAAAAACTAGAGCAAAATGTGCTGCAGGATGCACAACAACAAAGTTTTTGCAGTTTTCCATGTTTTTATGATAGACCCAATAAGGAAATGGCACTGACAATCCAGGAACAAAAATGGTGTTACATAGTATAAACAACTACATCTATAAAATCACATGTTAAAATTAAAATGCAACCATAAAAGCCTATATTAAAATTCTTCATACTATCAAAATCCTGTCTACTATTACTCAATGCCACAACATGCTCATGGCATTGAGCAGTAGTAGGGATCCAAGGATTCCCTACTTAGTAAAATAAATGAAAATTCAAAAATCACATTTTTTTTCATTAAGCCTCATTATGGTGTTTTGTCTTTATATCACAAAATAAAAAAATGTATACAGTGTTTCCTCACTTATCGCGGGTGTTACGTTCTAGGACCACCGGCGATAAGTGAAATTCCGCGAAGTAGGGACACTTCCTCCCCCCTCACTCACTCTTCGCCCTCTTTACCTTCCTCCTCATCGCAGCTTCTGCTGCTCCAGAAGCGGTGGAGGAGGCACCTTGTCAGCCATGTATAAATATGTGAAAGGAAGCCACAGGGAGGAGGGAGCAAGCTTGTTCTCTGCTTCCCTGGAGACTAGGACGCAGTGGAACAATGGCTTCAAACTACAAGAAAGGAGATTCCATCTGAACATGAGGAAGAACTTCCTGACTGTGAGAGCCGTTCAGCAGTGGAACTCACTGCTCCGGAGTGTGGTGGAGGCTCCTTCTTTGGAAGCCTTTAAACAGGGGCTGGATGGCCATCTGTCAGGGGTGCTTTGAATGCAATTTTCCTGCTTCTTGGCAGAATGGGGTTGGACTGGATGGCCCATGAGGTCTCTTCCAACTCTAGGATTCTATGATTCTATGTTGAGCTTTAAGAGGGCCAAATCCTTACCGCTCTCAGCCAGGGCAGCCGCCACTTCGTTGAGGGTCGAGTAGATGTTGCAGGCGGCCCAACGGCACTGAGCCCCCAAGGCACCGAGGGTTTCCATGAGAACCTGTGACCAGAGAGAACCAGGAGAGCGTTAGCTTGCAAGCACGGGGAGCTTACATGCACAAACCCTTCCCATCGGGATTCAAGGTCCATCCCTAGAGTCCCAAATGCTCTGGGACCTGAATGCTTCCTCCCATAGACGCAATTGCCTGGGGGCCTTCTCTGCTGTGGCACTGCCACTGTAAAATATCTTTTCCCCAGAGGCCCAAGTGAAGCCAAACCTGATTTTCTTCTGGTGCCAATTAAAAAACAGCATTTTACCAATGTTTCTGGAGCTCTCGTTATTTTTTCCAGACTGTTCACATACATTCTGTTAAACTGTTCACATACATTCTGTTAAACTGTGATTCTCCAGAAGTTGGCACTCATTATTCGCTGTTAGGAATTGTGGAAGTTGAAGTCCAAAATACCTGGAGGAGGGCCGAAGTTTGCCCATGCCTGGTATATAATGAGTGCCAACTTCTGGAGAAGCACAACATGGATTTCCCTAAATCAGTGAGTCTTCTGTATTCCAAAAATGGCTGATATCTGAGCTGCCTTCTCTCCTGACAGACAGTGAAGAATATCATGTGCACTCATTCAGCCAGTGTGCTGGCTACCAATACAGGAAGAATACACCAAAATACAACACCGCCTGAGCTCTGCGAGTGCAGCATTTTTCCGAATGAAGCAGAGAGTGTTTGATGACCAGGACATCCATAGGGATACCAAGGGGCTTGTCTATAAAGCTATTGTCCTCCCAACCCTGCTATATGCCTGCGAAACGTGGACTGTCTACAGACGTCACATGCAACTCCTGGAACTATTCCATCAGTGCTGCCTCCGGAAAATCCTGCAAATCTCTTGGGAAGACAGGCGGACAAACGTCAGCTTGCTGGAAGAAGCAAAGACCACCAGTATCGAAGCAATGGTCCTCCACCATCAACTCCGCTGGACCGGCCATGTTGTCCAGATGCCCGACCACTGTCTCACAGTTGCTCTACTCCGAACTCAAAAATGGAAAATGGAATGTTGGTGGACAGGAAAAGAGATTTAACAGATGGGCTCAAAGCCAACCTTAAAAACTCTGGCAAGGACACTGAGAACTGGGAAGCCCTGGCCCTTGAGTGCTCCAGGTGGAGGTCAGCTGTGACCAGCAGTGCTGCAGAATTCGAAGAGGCACAAGTGGAGGGTGAAAGAGAGAAACGTGCCAAGTGGAAGATGCGCCAAGCCAACCCCGACCGAGACCACCTCCCACCTGGAAACCAATGCTATCACTGCGTGAGATGATGAAGGTCAAGAAGAGGGCTCCACAGCCACCTACGAACCCACCCCCAGGACACAGAACTTGGAGGACCAGCATCCTTGGATTACGAGGTATTGCCTAAGTAAGTAAGTACAGGAAGAATGGGCAAGCAGCAGAGCTTACAGCGGTCTGGGCCGTGATGTGTGTACAGCCCACAATCTTGGCTCCGGCCAGCGGCTTCTCTCCCTGAGCGCGTTTCCTCAAGGCCATGAGCGCAGGCATTTCTGGCAAGAAGAAGAGAAAGAAGTCACACAAACAGGTGAAACGCCATCCTCCCCTTTTGGGGTCCTCAGCAACTGCTATCCCATAATAGTCTGCTATAATCACCAACTGCCAATGAAAGCTTCCTCCTCTGTGAAATTTGCAAAACCACCTCTTTTCAAATGCTAAGCAAACCACTGTCTCTCAGGCAACCCTTAATCTTGTTGAGTTCTTTCAGAGGCTACAGGCTTTACGTATTTATGTTAACTGACCAAATAATGGTTGAACAAGCTACCTGAGGATTTCTGCACATTTTAAGCAAGGGCTGCAAGTCTATCCCAATCAAGAACCTTCAAAAGAACCTTAATGGGGATGCTGGGGTTCAAGGCACAGAATTGCAGTGAAACTGAAAAACTGCAAATTTTTTCAAATGTTATTTTTTTTACATACCCAAGTCTCTCCAAGTCAAGTATGGGCAAACCCAGRACCAGGGGCTGGATGCAGCCCTTTGGGCTCTTTTTTCAGGCCCTTCTCTCTCTYGCCATCTCATTTTTCCTTCTCTCTTTCCTTCCTCCCTCCCTCCCTCTCTCCCTCCCTCCCTCCCTYCCCACCCTTTCGTCCTTCCTTCCCTCTTTCCTCCCTTCTTCCCTCTCTCCCTTTCTCCTTCCTTCCTTCTCTTCCCTTTTGTCTTTCCTTCCTTCTCCCCTCCCTTCCTCCATTCCCTTCCACACTTCCTTCCATCCTTCTCTTCCTTCCTTCTCTTTCCTTCCTCCTTCCCTCTCTCCCTCCCTACCTTCCCTTCCACCTTTCGTCATTCCTTCCCACTTTCCTCTCTCCTTCCCTCTCTCCTTTTCTTCTTTCCCTTCCCTTCCCTTCCTTTCCACACTTCCTTCCATCTCTCTTTCCTTCTTCCTTCAATCCTTCCCTTCCTTCCTTTCATCTTTTTCCTTCCYTCCCTCTTTCTCCTTTCCTCCTTCCCTCTCTCTCTTTCCCCTTCCCACCCCCTTCCTTCCTTCTCTTTTCTTTCTCCTTCAATTCTTCGCTTCCTTTCCTACTTCTCCTTCCCTCCTTCCTTCCCTTCCTCCTTCCCTCTTTCTCTTTCCCCTTCCTTCCTCCCTTCCTTTCTTCTCTCTTTCCTTCCTCCTTCAATCCTTCCCTTCCTTCTTTTCCTCTTTCTCCTTCCGTCCTTCCTTCCCTCTTTCGCACTTTTATACGCTTTCCCCATGTTTTTATGATAGAACCAATTGGTGCTACATAGTTTCTAGAGAGAACACTTTAATCAACTCCATAGATAATTAAATCTGCGAAAGTCAAATCTGTAAACGTGGCGATGGTGCAACTGTACATTAAAATGACAAATGCAGTTTTTTGATAGAGTTTGCAACTGGGGTTTGATCCTGATCCTGGTGCATCTGGGAGCAGGAAATTACCCTTTTGTGAATCTACATCAAGAGGCTCTGAGACTTGGCCATAGTGGTCAATGCTCTGGTTACATCCCGTATAGACTACTGCAACGCTCTCTACATGGGGTTGCCTTTGAAGACTGTTTGGAAGCTCCAAATGGTCCAACGGGCAGCAGCCAGGTTGCTAACAGGAGTGGCGCCCAGGGAGCATACAACTCCTCTGTTGCGCCAGCTCCACTGGCTGTCAATTTGCTACCGAGCACAATTCAAAGTGCTGGCTTTAGCCTATAAAGCCCTAAACGGATCTGGCCCTGTTTACCTATCCGAACGTATCTCTCCTTACAAACCCTCTAGGAATTTAAGATCTTCTGGGGAGGCCCTGCTCTCGGCCCTGCCATCTTCACAGGCTCGATTGGCGGGGATGAGGGATAGGGCCTTCTCAGCGGTGGCCCTTCTGTTGTGGAATGCCCTCCCCAGAGACATTAGATCAGCCCCCACCCTCTTAACATTTCGCAAGAAAGTTAAAACCTAGCTATATGAGCAGGCCTTCCCAAACGCAGTGTAGCTATTAAAGTCTGATCTCGGAACGGTTGGACAACGTGACTGGATAATGACTGGAAATGAAATGCGGAGGACTTATGGTTTTTATTGTGTTACTGATGTTAATTCACAAGTGAGGTTGGTGGGGATGAGGAGCAGGGCCTTCTCAGTGGTGGCCCCTCACCTGTGGAACTCACTCCCGGGGGAAATTAGGGCATCAACATCCCTCCTCTCCTTCAGGAGGAAGGTAAAGATGTGGTTGTGGGACCAGGCCTTCGGCAATCTGACAACTAGATATGGACAACCAGATGGATAGGACTGACAGGACTGACAATTGTGGAATTGGAATTTGAACTATGAGATTGTGAAACGCTGACCGTCAATGAGGAGAAATGGTTTGTATTGGCTTTATTGCTTTTCCTGGTTTAATGGTTGTTTTCGCCTTGCAAGAATTGTTGTTCTGTTCATTGATGTTATTGCTAGAATTGCTGTTTTCTGTTCATTGATGTTATTTTGTCTTATTGTTGTTATGTGATGCAGGCATCAAATTGTGCCTTGCTTTTGTAAGCCGCCCTGAGTCCCCTTCGGGGTGAGAAGGGCGGGGTAGAAGTAACCGAAATAAATAAACAAATAAAATTGTAATGAATTTTTACCTGTCTTAAATGTTTTTAATGTTTAAATTATTTTTGTACTGTTGTGGGAATCGAATTGTGCCGTTTTGTAAACCGCCATGAGTCGTCCTCGGGCTGAGAATGGCGGTATAGAAGCATAGTAAATCAATCAATCAATCAATCAATCAATCAGAAGAGCCAGGTGTCACCACTTGTCCGCTTGCTGTGCAAGAATGTACCTGTGAGACCACAACCTCCTGATGAAGCTCAGGGTCCCAGGGAAGGCGCCTCTCCCTTACCTTGTTCAGCAATTTCGATTTCCCGGCGCCCAAACTCAGCCTGCTTGATGTTCTTCACGCAGAAATCGCTGCTGCCTTTGGAGCTCTTCTGCTGCTTGTCCCGGGGGGAGGTCTCATCGTCTGAACTGTCTGTGTAGGAGGCCGCTGGGGAAAGAAGGGGCAGGAAGCACAATGAGGAAACGGCCGTCACACCAACCCAGGCATGGTTGCACCATTGCCCCTTGGCTTTCTCTGATTTCTTTGCCTCCAACTCTTTCCATTGTTCCATATGGCACAGGTATGGGCCAACTTGGGACCTCCAGGTCTTTTGACTTCAACTCCCACAATTGAAGCTGGTAGGCTCTTAGGAATTGAAGTCCAAAACAGCTGGAGAGCCCAAGTTGGCCCATGCCTGTGCCAAATGGAACAATGGAAAGAGTTGGAGGCAAGGAAATCAGAGAAAGCAAAGGGGCAATGGTGCAGCCACGCTCCAGAACTGCACAGATGTGTCTCAGTCAGCCCTTGACCTCTATGGCCGTGTGGTACCAGCCACCAGTACTGACCCTCAGAAAGTAGTTGTTAACAGACATTCACCAAGTGCATAGCTCTTGACCCAACAAGGACATTTGCAAGACTGCTTCTGGAGTGATTCTCTGAAACCAACTTGTAAACCTGAACTTATGTGATATGTAAAGCCCAATGACTGCATAGAAAGTTCAATGCTCCCATCTATATATATATATATAAATGCTCTGTGCGTAATAAGTACCTTAAAAACAAAAGAACCAATGAACGAAATCACACCAAATTTGGCAACAAAGCGTCTCACTACACAAAGAGTGACCATCACTCAAAAAATTATGATTTTGTCATTTGGGAGTTGTAGTTGCTGGGATATATAGTTTACCTATAATCAAAGAGCTTTCTGAACTCCACCAACGATGGAATTGAACCAAACTTGGCACACAGGACTCCCATGACCAACAGAAAATACTAGCAGCGTTTGGTGGGCATTGACCTTGAGTTTGGGAGTTGTAGTTCACCTACATCCAGAGAGCACTGTGGACTCAAACAATGATGGATCTGGACCAAACTTGGCACGAATATTCCATATGCCCAAATATGAACACAGATGGAGTTTGGGGAAAATAGACCTTGACATTTGGAAGTTGTAGTAGGACAATAATATGTTGCATGTTCCAGAGTAGGCAAACCAGACATCTCCACATCAACACTGACAAAGAAACAACAAGAAATACTGTTTACCCACAAGCATCAAGATATTACATATATTAGAAACCAACACTTTCTCGTTGCTTTATTTTCCAGATCATCAGACTGGGCCACAGCAACGCCTGGCAGGGGACAGCTAGTGTATAAATATGTGAAAGGCTGTCCTATGGAAGAGGGAGCAGCCTTCTTTTCTGCTGCCCTTGAAACTAGGTCTTGGAGCCATGGGTTCAAATTACAGGAGAGGAGATTCCACCTGAACATAAGGAAGAACTTCCTGACTGTGAGAGCTGTTCAGCAGTGGAACTCTCTGCCTCGGAGTCTGGTGGCGGCTCCTTCTTTGGAAACTTTTAAACAGAGGCTGGATGGCCATCTGTCAGGGGTAGCTTTGATTGTGCTTTTCCTGCATTGAAGAAAGGGGTTGGACTGGATGGACCATGTAGTCCCTTCCAACTCTATTATACTATTGATGCTATGAATCGTGGTCCCACTCACATGTCTCTGGTGGTCTAATCATGGACCGACTTCGCGTCTGATCCGACCGGCTTGAATGCTGCGACGAGGGAGGAATTTGGTTATCATAAGATTCCCATGAGTAGAGTCTGGGCGAATCCATCTCATCTGCTTTGAGACCTTCTCCTTAGCAAAGAAGGGCTGTGCATGCACACATGAGCAGGAACAAATGGGAGGATGATCTTCCTGGGCCAAAGCCACACTCAGGGCCAGAGTTGAGTCATAGCAGGCCATTGTGACTGTAGGTTCCACAGATGGGATGGAACTGAGCACAATATTGTCTTTCACTGCCAGATTCAGCAGCTTCCAGAAGCCGGAAACCAAAGGAGAAACCAGGTTCCTGGACCATCTCAACAGCATCCACCCAAACATCCAATTCACCATGGAAAAAGAAAAGGAAGGAAGACTGCCTTTCCTAGATGTGCTAGTCATCCGTAAACTGGATCAACAGTTGGGACACACCATTTACAGAAAACCCACACACACAGATAGATATCTACAGAAAATATCCAACCATCACCCAAGTCAAAAAAGAAGCCCCATTAAAGCCTTGGCAGACCGTGCAAAAAGAATCTTGTGAAGCCCACCTCCTCCAAGATGAAATGGGCTCAAATGGGCTCTCCAGGCCAAACCTCAAATGGGCTCTCCAGGCCAATGGAGACTCCACCTCAGACATCAGAAGAGCTGCAAGACAACCGAGAAGAAGCCACGAGAGTCAAGACGAAGACCCACCCAGAGGAAAAGGGTTCTTGCCAGACATCAAGGGGACCACTGACTGCAGAGGGAAGCTGATGAGGGGACACAACATACAAACGATCTCCAGACCCACCAAGAAAATCCAACAAATGCTTCGTTCAGCAAAGGACAAGAGGGATCCTCTCACCTCTGCAGGAGTCTACCGTGTACCATGCAGCTGTGGACAAGTCTACATAGGGACCACCAAACACAGCATGGCCCAGACATGAATGAAGGAACATGAAAGGCACTGCAGACTCACTCAACCAGAGATGTCAGACATAGCAGAGCACCTGAGGAACCAACCTGGACACAGCATATTATTCGAGAACACAGAAATGCTGGACCACTCCAACAACCACCATGTCAGACTACACAGAGAAGCCACTGAAATCCATAAGCATGTGGACAATTTCAACAGAAAGGAGGAAACCATGAAAATGAACAAAATCTGGCTACCAATATTAAAAAACTCTAAAATTAGAACAGCACAACAACAGAGAGGAAACAATCAGGGACATCCAATTGCCTCTCAACAAAAGATTGCTCCAGGCACTGCCGGGCAATCAAATGCTAATCAAGGTGGTCAGTTGAAACATTCACACCTAGCTCCAGCAGAGAAGAGCTCTTTGCCCCACCCCAGTCATTCCACAGATATATAAACCCTTTTTCCTAGTCCCAATAGACCTCACTACCTCTGAGGATGCTTGCCATAGATGCAGACGAAACGTCAGGAGAAATGCCTCTAGAACATGGCCATATAGCCCGGAAAAACTTACCACAACCCAAAGGAGAAGCCTTTGCCAGTGTGTTAGTGTCTCATTGTACGTGATTGTAATAAGGCACTGAATGTTGGATATTGAGATGGAAGCAAGGCCACGATACGTACCGGAACTGTAACTATCTGTTGATGACTGAGAGATGGACCGGGACAACGAGCGGCGACCTATCTTCGTGGGACGCTTGTTGAATTCTTGTTTTTGGTCAGCAAACTGGATCTGTCAAGAGAAAAAGAGCAGATTCAGGATAATGGAGGGGAAAATCAAAGATCAAACATGAAATCCTTCCAGGCTCACTGTTGGGTACAAGGAGTGCTTGCCTCTGTTAACAATCAAACCAGTTTACAATGCATTTACTATGAATCTTCCTCATTAGAAGGAAAACGACTTTCTAAATGACTTATGGAATTGCAACACCTAACTATTGGAAGTCCAAGGCACCTAGAAGGAGAGGACTTCTATCACACGGGACAGATTTCTCCACATTCATTCGGGTACTGGGCATCTGGTTAAAACTTTGACATAAAGACCTTTGGACCTGGGTTTTAATGCTTAGGGACTTGAAAGTAAGATTCCACATCTCTCATCAGAAGTGCTTTGGATTTCATGAATTTTTGGGTTGTTTTTTTTTAAAAAAAATGGAATACCTGTATTTGCATATACGCACATAATGAGATATCCTGCTAAGGGTTACTTAACAATAACAAAACAACAACAAATTCAGACAATTTTATATGCACAGCCCAAAGGTAATTTTATTCATAACCATTTTAATTCATACGGTTCTGGCCCAGCTTACTTGTCCAAATGCATAATCTAAGATCATCTGGGGAGGCGCTGCTCTTGCTCCCGTCAACAACACAGATGCATCTGGCAGGGACGAGAGACAGGGCCTTCTCAGCTGTGGCCCCCCACCTATGGAACACACTCCCAAATGAGGTAAGATCCACTCCCTCCCTTCTGGCTTTTAGAAAAAAATTAAAATCATGGTTCTGGGACCAGGCCTTCGGACAGTACATGTATTAGAGGGACATGGACTGGAACGGCGATTCGACTGATGAGACTGTTTTATTGTTTTAATGCTTGTTGATGTAGTGCTTAAATTGTGATTTACGTTTAATTGTGGTTTTACTATTGTAATTGTTTGTATTGGCATCATATTAGTGCCCAACGTAAGGCACTGAATCTTGCCATTATTTCTGTGTAAACCAATTGAGTCCCCCCAGGGGTGAGAAAGGCGATATAGAAATACTGTAAATCAGTGTTTCTCCACCTTCGTAGTGCCGCGACCCCTTAATACAGTTCCTCGTGTTGTGGTGACCCCCAACCATAACATTATTTTGCTACTTCATAACTGTAATTCTGCTCCTGTTATGAATGGTACTGCAATTAACTGATAAGCAGGATGTATTTTCACTGGATTAAATTTAGCACAAATACCCGATATGCCCAAATTTGAATAGTGGTGGGATTGGGAGGAGGGGGGATTGATTGATTTTGTTATTTGGGAGTTCAAGTTGTTGGGATTTATAGTTCACCTACAATCTGAACTCCACCAATGATGAAATTGAACCAAACCTGGCAAACAAAACTCCCATGGCCAACAGAAAACACTGGAAGGGTTTGGTGGACATTGACCTTGAGTTTGGGAGTTGTAGTTCACCTACATCCAGAGAGCACTGTGGACTCAAACAATGATGGATCTGGACCAAACTTGGCACAAATACTCAATATTCCCAAATGTGAACACTGGTGGAGTTTGGGGAAAATAGACCTTGACATTTGGGAGTTGTAGTTGCTGGGATTTATAGTTCACCTACAATCAAAGAGCATTCTGAACTCCACCAATGATGGAATTGGGCCAAACTTCCTACACAGAACCCCCATGACCAACAGAAAATACTGTGTTTTCTGATGGTCTTTGGTAACCCCTCTCACACCCCCGGCGACCCCCTCAGGGGTCCCGACCCCCAGGTTGAGAACCACTGCTGTAAATGAATGAATGAATGAATTTGGTGCATGAAACAAAGTTTATGTACAGTGAACTACCTGAAATGAAGATGTCACTATCTCAGCCTCCCATGTGGACAATTTCAAAAAAACTTTGGATTTCAGAATTACAGATGAAGGATGCCCAACAGATATTTTAAATCTTTGCTTGCAGAAAAATTGTGAAAGATCTTCAAAAATAATGAGAGAGGCAAACAACCTGCTTGGTGGGGTTGGACTCGATGGTCCATGAGGTCTCTTCCAACTCTATGATTCTATGAACACGCACACAAGTTGCAAGCAATTTGAGATATCAAGCGACATACAGCAAAGGGAATGAACTTCTACTAGTGAAAAGGAGGCATAAAAGCCACAATAAGAACCAGGATCTGTGTGAGATTTGTAACTTGCAAGCAAAGTGCCTGGAAATACCTTTAGCCTGGAGGAAACACTTTTAAAATCCAGTAGAAATGTCACCTTTCTAGCATTTCCAGATAATTGCTGAGAGCAAAACGAACACCATCACATAATGGTTATACTACTGATACTACTACTACTACTTACTATTATTATTATTATTATTATTATTATTATTATTATTATTACTACTACTACTACTACTACAACAACTATGTATGACCCGCCTCTCCTCACTGCTTGAGATGAGAGTATGACACAGTTGAAATACATACTTAAAACATAATGTGTGTGTAACGACAAAGAGATTAAACCCCATTATACTATACAAATCAAACTTAAATTTCAAATGGACAATAACAAAACAACAACAATTTATAAGTATTAATTTATTTATTTCCTATATGTATACCTCGCCCTTCTCACCCCCGAGGGGGGACTCAAGGTGGCCTCACAGAAATCCTATATGATTTCATAAAACATTCAACAATACATTAAAATATTAAAACAATAATTAAAACAATAGATTAAAACATGCCTATTAAAAATCAGAATCCAAAATCCAAGTTGGGGTCAATTCATTGTCACGAGTTGCTTAAGTCTTCTTTCACTTGCTATCATGTTGCCAGGGCTCTACCTTATTTAGGTAGAGATGAATCAAACTCCAAGTAAAATAATTGTTTAATTATTTTAATTGTTTATATATGTATGTAATTGGATATGGGCATCGAATTCTGCCTTCTTTTTGTAAGCCGCCCTGAGTCCCCCCTCGGGGGTGAGAAGGGCGGGGTATAAGTAACAGAAATAAATAAAATAAATAAATTTTATCAAATAGTTTAATTAAAACAGCACTTACTTGCTGGCTGTTTTAATAGACCAAAACATAAAACATAAAGATAACACTCAGCTACAGAATAAACAAACACTGATAGCAAAAATAACTTAGTAGTCAAAAGGGTCCAGTCCAGTGGTCAAACGCCGAGAGTTCAATAACAGAGTCCAGGGATCAAGAGTCTATACCATAGTCAAAAGTCAAGGTTCCAGGGTTCCAAGATTACAGAAGACAGGTCAGGATACCGAAAATCCAACAGACCTGGGGGGAAAAACCAGCAGCATCCACCACCAAAAATTATTTATTTATTTATTTATTTATTTATTTATTTGGAGCATTTATTAACCGCCATTCTCAGCCCACTCGGGCGACTCACGGCGGTGTACAGTACAAAAGGCAATTCACACAAAGACAAGTACAACAGCATATTAACCATACAACAATACAACAGTTAAAATTACACTAACTAATCCGCTTCGTCTCGTAATAGAATCGTGACCAATCTCGTATTCCTTGTACCATTCCAGTCGTCTTTACCACAAAATGCAACAGATACTTTTCTCCCAAAGAACAGTCCCAAGGTTAGCCCCTTAAATCCAGTAACACCCAGCTGCAACCTATTCCCTGCATGCCTCCACCCTTAATTGCTTTTACCTGTAAACTGTTGCTTACAAACTACTCAGCCCTTTAGAACCAAATCTTACACTAACCCTTCCATCACCAACTGCCAGGTCTACCACCACCAACCACCATCAACTATGGAACATATGACATTTGCTGCCATTCATGGGACGCTTGGTCCCATAACCAAGTCTTAAGTTTCTTTCTAAAGGATAGGAGGGAGGTGGTCAATCTGATGTCCCTGGGGAGAGCGTTTCACAAACGGGGGCCACTGCTGAGAAGGCCCTGTCCTTCGTCCCCACCAGTCGCATTTGCAATAGCAGCGGGATCGAGAGCAGGGCCTCTCCAGATTATCTTAAATTTCGTGATGGTTCGGGACAGGAGACACGTTCGGACAGGTAGTCTGGGCCAGAACTGTTTAGGGCTTTAAAAGTTAAAACCTGCACTTTGATTTGTGCTCGGAAGCTGATCAGCATCCAGTAAATCAGAACTGATACAACTTTTAAAGGGAAAAGACAACATGGGTTTTTGAAAATGGCAAAATGCAACAACTCCGGCAAGCAAAGACAGCTTCGGGCAAAATGCCTTTTTGCTTCACTGACCGGGGAATTAACTCCAGACAGAGTTCCTTCAAATGGCTCTGGTTTCCAAAAGGGCTTTGTCCAATCCAGTTCCTTCTGCTTTCAAGGACCATTTGCTGCCATAAATACCTGCCCAGGTGCCGAGGTTCCGTCCTGAGGCTATTGTTCGAGTTCCCTTGAGAACAGGGACAAGATGTTGGAAGTGAAGACCCATCCACATCTGCATATAAGGGTCTTGCTTTCTGCTTTCCTAGATCTGACTCTCTCAAGGTGTTCTGCTTCCTGCCTTCTTCCCAAAAGTCGTAAGTCTTTTGTTTGATAAGGGAGCACCATGAGGCTTCTCTCTGCCTCAAGATGGGCATGTTTAGCCTGAAGAAGAGAAGGCTGAGAGGGGATATGATAGCCATGTATAAATATGTGAGAGGAAGCCACAGGGAGGAGGAGGGAGCAAGCTTGTTTTCTGCTTCCCTGGAGACTAGGACGCAATGGAACAATGGCTTCAAACTACAAGAGAGGAGATTCCACCTGAACATGAGGAAGAACTTCCTGACTGTGAGAGCCGTTCAGCAGTGGAACTCTCTGCCCCGGAGTGTGGTGGAGGCTCCTTCTTTGGAGGCTTTTAAGCAGAGGCTGGATGGCCATCTGTCAGGGGTGATTTGAATGCAATATTCCTGCTTCTTGGCAGAATGGGGTTGGACTGGATGGCCCATGAGGTCTCTTCCAACTCTTTGATTCTATGATTCTATGATTCTAAGATGCCTTACAGACAGCATGGTCAG